ACACGGGGTCTAGACATAGATGTCGTTTTACAAAAGAACTTTTAAAATGTGTTTTTTTATTTTTGTAATATCTACTTTGTTATATTTATTTATTTATCCTCACCTGAGGATATTTTTCCCATTGGTTTTTAGAGAGAGTGGACGGGAGAGGGAGAGACAGAGAGAAATACCGATGTGAGAGAGACTCGATGATTGGTTGCCTCCCACATACCCTGACCAGGGCAGGGAGCCTGCCACCCAGGTAAGCACCCTTGACAGGGATCGGACCCGGGACCCTTCAGTCCGCAGGCCGACGCTCTCTCCACTGAGTCAAACCTGCTAGGGCTTAAAATTTATTTTTTAAATATATTTTTATTGATTTCAGGAAGGAAAGAAGAGGGAGAGAGAGATAGAAACATCCTGCACCCCCCACACGGAGGATCCAGCCCACAAGCCAGGCATGTGCCCCGTCCGGGAAAATAAACAGTGACATCCTGGTTCATAGGTCGATGCTCCACCACTGAACCAAGCTGGCTGGGCCAAAATCACTTTTAAAATACTGAGTGACTTCTCTTCTTTTTAAAAGTAAACTCACCACAGTGTGAAGGAGGCTGACAAAAGAAAAAAGTATTTGTGCAAAGATAGAATCACTGGAACTGGCTCTTGCTTAACAGGGAACAAAATTATGAGATTCCTGGAAAGGTCTATCAGTGAGACAATAATGATAGTAATAATAAATCTATTATAGTCAACACTATGTGCTAACAAGGGTAAAAGGACTTGAAGGGTTTGTAACTTTGCCATGTGACTGAGATCAGCCTAGCACCCTGATTGCCCCCTCCCCCCCCCCACACACACAACCCCCAAAGGTGGCTGCACTAAAGTGTAGGCTGCAGAAAAGTCCAGCAGAACAGACCCCTACCGTGGCTCTCATGAATGCAAAGCCTAGATCGTTTAACTAATTACATTAAACCCGCGCAGTTGCTAACCAGTCATTGCAAAGAGTTTTAAGTAAGAATTAATTTTTTTCAGAACTGAATTCTAACCTATAAGGTTCCCAAATCTCAGAATAAACAAAAAAAAAGAAAAGAAAGTTCCCAAATCTACTTGAATTGCTGGAAGATGATTTCACAGATTCGCTTTGGCCTCAGCCTTGCCCACCTGAAGGCCTTCACAGAGGAGGATGCTGTTTGCTCTCGTGGCCACTAGGTGGCGCGCAAACTCAAGCAGCCCGTGGCACAGCCGGGGTGCAGGGTGCCGGCTAGGCCATCGATCATTAACTTTGGGTTGACATTGTATGACGCAGGAGATTTTTTTACATCTAAACTCAAAGAATGAGGATTTTTATTAAGCATTGCAGGTTGCATTCAATAGCCTTCGATACACCGCACCACAACCCATCTACAATCAGTCAAACCCAACAGCAGTTCATTCTTGCACAATCCATGAGTGAGGGCAAACCCGTTGCAACTCACAGCGAGAGCCTCAGGTCTTGCGGGCAGGGATCGGGGAGTTGCATCTCGTTTCTGATCCCTGATGTGTGATGAAGAGCACCAGGAGGGTGACATGGGAACGGGCCAGGAGCGATCCAAAGGACGTTGCTTAGAAACATGAACAAAACACCAGAATGATATACAAACACCTGCTTCTGCTAAGTTCTTGACGGGAAAGTTCTCAAATATAAGCCATTTGTTTCCCTGCTACAGAAGAGGGGCGGGTATTAAAGATCAAAGGGATTTTTTTCACAGAATTTCCTATTTTGCTAATATGAAGGCATAAAACAGCAACAAGGAACAGGAATGCATACAGCAGTGAATACACCAGGGTACTGTTGATACGCAAAACAGCTAGATCATTTTGGGCTGTTTTAGAATAAATGCAACGGAGGTCAATAATCACAAAAATTTAAGGTTAGAGCAAGATCAGTCGATGACTAAACAGAGTTAACATCTTTCATGGCACGATTACTGATTATTAGCATTTTTGTCTTGCAAATGGGCACATTTTAAAGCTCATTGGCGTTTTACAGCCTTTTGGTGGAAAGAAATGATTGTGACTCACAGTTGACGAAGCTGTGATGCTGGCGTCGGGGCTCAGAGCAGTCAGGCCGTGGCCGGCTCGCAGGACCTTTAGGGGAAACATATAAAGGTCAATACATTGCCAGGCGGACAAGAAGCTCACGTGGGCTGGTTCATGGGCTCCCCAACCAGTGATTGACAGGAGACATGCCGATAACTACCCTCGCGGTGCCCACGGTTTAGAATAAAGGGGGAAGCCCGGGAGGAGTCTGGGTCTGTCCGTCTCGTGTAGAAATGAGGCCAAAGGAGGAAATGGGAGGAAACTGTCTCCTGGAGAAGCCACTTCAGTGTCCTTCCATGTGAGTAGAAAATTCAGCATCACAGCCCCAGAGGCGGAGGTTGCATATGGCTTATCTTTTCAGCACCATTATTTTTTAATATATATAAATGCTTTTTATTGATCTCAGAGAGGAAGGAAGGGAAGGGGGAGAGGGAGAGGGAGAGAGAGAGGGGGAGAGAGAGAGAGAGAGAAACATCAATGATGAGAGAGAATCATGGATCGGCTTCTGCACCCCCCCCCTTCCTCACTGGGGATCAAGCCTGCAACCCGGGCATGTGCCCTGACCAGGAATCCAACGGTGACCTCCAGGTTGACCGCAACCACTGACCCATGCCGGCTGGGCAGTGTTATTATTTTAATAGTTAGATAACCTCAACATAGGCCATCGGGAGGAGGACACTGACCCACCCCCAGCAGCGCAGCAGCCTCCGATTAGCAATGTTGCTGTGATGTCATTAGTATTATATTGGGCACATGATCATAATCAACTTGGGGAGCCTTGATTAGATGCCAGGCACTGTGCTGAGGGCTTCATGGAGCAAATCTTTTTAAAAAGTTTAACTGCATTCTAAATATCATGCCACAAAACAGCTGCTATAACCACCTCTTACATGAGGAGATTCAGACTTGAGAGTGTGTCTTCGCACTATAAGTTTGCCTTGCAGATCGATCGGAATTCATGTGCCTTTAAAGCACACATACGTTCATCAGAAATGAGACAAAACACGGCAGTTTACAAAAACACAAGTTGCACACAGGTGAACGTGAGAACAGACTGTCGCTTTTCTCGTCACAATGAAAAAGCGTATGGACAGTTTTCTCCGGGAGATATTAAATATTGAGGCCATTTTGCCCTTCAAGGCCCCAAGACAGAAAGAGCCAAAGGCTAACAATGAACGGAAATAGCCTGGCTGATGGGGTTCAGTGGTTGAGTGTTGACCTATGAACCAAAAGGTCACACGTTGATTCCCGGGTTGTGTGCTTGATCCCCAGTCCTGGGTGTGCAGAAGGCAGCCAATTGATGATTCTCTCTCATCATTGATGTTTCTCTCTCTCTCCCTCTCCCCTCCTCTCTAAAATCAATGAAAACATTTAAAAAAACAAAACACACAGTGAACAGAAGGAGGCCTCACACTCCCCCGGCTGAGCCTGACCCAAGGGCACTCCACCCCACAGGGCATGGCTGCAGACAGTTTACTCCTAATCCACCCGCCTGTGACCATGCCCTACAGTGTCTGCAGGTGTTAACAGTTTGCCGTAAAAGGTCATTCCTATAAAGTATCATCAGGTGATCAGAAGCTACTACCCTCCTGTGGACGCATGGGACAGAGAACGAGTCTTGAGGGAAAGCAGGGGAGGGTGAGCGGGTGGGAGGTAATCGACCAATGACCTTCTAGGCATAAGTGGACACTAACAATAAGGTGGTGAAGGCCTGCGGTGAGGGCTGGGGTGGGCTGGAAGGGCTCAAAGGGGAAAAGGGGACATATGTTAAAATTGGATATACATTGTTTTTATCACAATGTGGCACAATCCGGACACTGTTGGGGTAAGAGTGTCAATAAGACTGATAAACACAGCAGTTAGCTGGACACGTCCTGTGCCCCAGACAGTCCGTGCACGAGTCTCACTCCTTCCTTTCCACGATCCCAGAATCCCATTCCAACCACTACCACCGCACCAGCGAGGACATGGAGACGGAGAGCCCAGATCTGCCCTAGGACAGCCCCGAGGACTGAGGACAACTTATGTAAACACACACACACACACACACACACACACTGAAACATGAACTAGAGTCGAAGAGAAGATTTCTGTCTGTTTATAAAGTCCATTAAATTAAAACACACCCACCTATTAACTCCTCGCTAATGCGCTTAATGAGCTTTAGGTAAAAAATAAAATAATTTACAAAAGAAACAGGCGGGAGAGAGGCCACAGTGCAGGGAAGGGCCAGGAGGGAGCAAACAGGCCTTTGGACTCAGTGGACATTTGCCCTGAGAAGCGGACTTGTCAATGGGACCAGGAAGTGGTGAGTCTTGATCCCTTCGCCTGCTGCTCCTGTTGTTACGGCCACAATAGGACGTCTCTACTGTTCACAGTCCCAGGGGCTCCAGCAACACGGGGGCCAGAGGGCCTCAAGGGGGTGGGGGTTACAGTTGGCTTCACAGTCTAATCTCTTTTTTTTCTTCAAAAAAATACTTTTTTATTTCAAAGAGCAAGGGAGAGGGAGAGAGAAACGTCAATGATGAGAGAGAATCATGGGCCGGCTGCCTCCTGCACGCCCCCTACTGGGGATCAAGCCCGCAATCAGGGCCTGTGCCCTGATGGGGGATCGAACCTGGTTCCTAGGTCGACACTCAACCACTGAGCCACCCCGGCCCGGCTTCACAGGCTAATCTTGACCACTCATCCCCTCGCTCACTCACTGCTGTGCTCACTCCACACCTAAATAGTGGGAAGTGCGGGTAGCAGGCGGCCATCAGGCACATCCGGGCTGGAGCTCTGTCCGTGAAGAACACCCAGCAGGAGCCGCACTGACACGTCCTGAGCGTTTCATCTCCGATAAGATTGTAGTGGTTTTTGTTTTCCTCATTTTGCTTATCTGCTTTCAACTTTTCTCCCATAAACAGTAAGTCAAGTGAGTCTGTATGTCAATTGCTACGATGAGCTACACGCACGCGCGGGCCGTGGGCAAAGGGAGAGTGACGGACTCTGTAAGGCGCTGGAGCTGCGCTGAGATGGGGCTGAGCTGCAGCTGCAAAGCTAAGACCCCCTGGCGGCCGTGGACACGACACCCGGATGGACAGTGGCGGGCGGGGGCGGGAGCTGTGTGATCGCTCAGCCCAGCCCCGCCCCAGAGCAGGTAAGAGCCCTTCGCCCGTTAACTGCGCATCAGAGC